TAAACTTCTTTCATTCTAACCAAAATAAAACAAAAGACTTTCTCCAGAAGAAAAAATATTATTAGAAACACTGTGGAAATTTTTTTTTGCTTTGTTAAACATAATAAGGGAAATATTTGAAAAAGAAAAAAAAATCACAGGAGGGCTAACAATTCTGACTTCAACTGTTTGTCAAATCCACAAAAATACAGCTTTAAATATATAAAAATCAGTCTCTTGTTTTATACACAATGGATAACTCTGGAGGACACTAGGTTATTACGGTGGCTTTCTCATAGCTAACAAATAATTCAATCCGATTGAATGTCATCCTAGGGTTGTAACTGGACATGTAAAACCATTTCAGGAGAATTTCTGTGCTTACCTAAACAACATACCTTCTATGTAGATATCAGAGAACAATGTAAACATATAGAATTAGTGCATTCTACGGCACTTTTATGTTTAAATTCTCTTAAACATCAATACACAATGTCTGAAGACAGATGAACTGGCAAGTAATTCTAGCTGTTAAACCAATTGATCATTTAGATCAGTGGTCACCAAACTTGTTCCTGGAGGGTCGGTGTCCTGCAGATTTTATCTCCAACCCTAATCAAACACACCTGAACAAGCTAATCAAGGTCTTACAAGGTATACTTGAAACATCCAGGCAGGTGTGTTGAGGCAAGATGGAGCTAAACCCTGCAGGGACACCGGCCCTCCAGGACCAGGATTGGTGATCCCTGATTTAGATGCTCAGCTTTATTCTGTCCTCTCACACTATCATCTCAAAAACATTGCAAGAATTAGATTCTTTGTTCCCAGTGAGAAACTTGTTCATGCTTTAATGAGCAGCAGGGTGGATTACTGTAACAGACTCCTTACTGGCCTTCCCAAAAAGACAGTCAGACAGCTGCAGCTCATCCAGAACGCTGCGGCCAGGATTCTGACCAGGACCAGAAACACAGAGCACATCACATCGGTCCTCAGGTCTTGACACTGGCTCCCAGTTACATTCAGAATAGATTTTAAAGTATTATTACTGGTCTATAAATCACTAAATGGCCTAGGACCTCAATACGGTACAGATATGCTCACTGAATATAAACCTAACAGATCACTCAAATCTTTAGGATCAAGTAAATTAGAAATCCCAAGAGTTCAGTCAAAGCAGGGTAAATTCACCTCCAGCCACCGCTGGAATCAGCTTTCAGAAATGATCAGATGTGCTTGAACATTAGGCACATTCAAATCAAGACTGAAAACACATCTGTTTAGTCGTGCCTTTACCGAATGAGCACTGTGCAAGTCCGTCAAATCAATCTATTATGTCTTTCTTTTCTTTTTCATTCTTTTAAAACTTCTTTTAACCCATTTAAATATGTTTTTAATCATTTTATTCTCTGTTTTTATTTTCTTATACTTGTTTCTTTATTCCTGTTTTTGTAAAGCACTTTGAATTACCATTGTGTATGAAAAGTGCTATAAATAAACTTGCCTTGCCATTCGTCTTTCGTGGACGACCAGCCTTTTTGTAGAACTTGAATGCATCAGTGACTTTGTAAAGACGCAATATTCTAGAAATGACGGATTTGGAATAATCAACTTCTCTTTCGAAACAACCTGCTGATGTCCTTTAAAAAAGTTTAAGCTAGTCCACTAATGTGCTTTTGCTGGTAAAGAACTAAAGGTGAACACTAAAGCATCCTATTGGGAACTAAAATACATTTGATGGTAATGATGATGGATCTGCTCCGTCCATTCACAAGGTGTCCTATTCTCTCTCAAAACTGCCACTTTAATAATTTCATGTCCTCGCATCAGCTAATGTTTTAATATTCCCCTCTGTCAGTTTTACTGGAATAAAAGGAGTGGGTGGGAGACTGGGGGAGGAAAGAATGCAAACCTTTGTCTACAGACACAACGATGGTGGAGGAGAAAGAAAGCAGCTCTAAATTAGACCCGCCCGCTCACCCCATGTCTTTCTGTCTGTCTCTCTCTCTGTATTGTTGTGTCTGGAAGACGTCAGCAGAGGAGAGGAATCTGGAGAGAGGGAGAGATGGAAAAAGAGAGGGATGGAGAAAGAGATGTCTTTGTCTCATCTCTTAAACATGTCCTGGTGAAAGGGCAGCTAGAGGAGAAACAGGGTCAGGAGGTGACTTTCTCGTTCTCCGCTGTCTTGCTCTCGTCACATCTTTCTTTTCTCCTTGATGTGATATTGTTATCATCATGCATTCAGTTAAATTATTAGTGGCTAAAGAGATTTTATTTTTCCTGTAACTTAAGTAGAGGTCATGGGTTCAGTTAAACGTGCAAAAATTGGATACCTTGCAATGTACATAATTTTTGCATAAATAAAATTATTTTAAAGATGTAGATATATTTAAAACCATTTCATTTATACACCATGTCATTCTTCTTCATGTGGAAAACAAGAAAGTTTCTGACCTGGATGAGTACTACAGTAGATGCCTATTACTCAACTATGAACTGTTTATTAGTACTTATAAACAATGACCTTATTTTACATCCCTAATCCTACCCAATGCCTAAACCCAACTACTACCATACAAACTGTTAATAAGCATCTACACTACCTGACTAAAGTCTTGTTGTATATTAGGAACAACAATAACTTGACTTAGTTGATCATTTAGTATCAGAAGTGGCTAATATAAAATGCAAAGGCCTCTAGACTACGCTTATTTTACCAAAATAAAATCTAATCATGCCTTGAATTTTTAATTATTTAATTAGGACAGTAAGGTCTGACTTTGCTTATACAAAAGTCTCATCGCTTAACAGAAATAATGTACAGTATAAAATATAAAGTCATGGTGCAGTGGAAAAAGAATTAGTATTGTGTATGACTCCCATGAGCTTGGAGGACTGCATCCATACATCTTTGCAATGACTCAAATAACTCATTAATGAAGTCATCTGGAATGCAAAGAAAGCGTTCTTGAAGGACTCCCAGAGTTATATAAGGTTCTTTGGATCCTTCTTCGATGCCTCCTTCATCTTACTTCAGACCTGCTCAATAATGTTCATGTCTGGTGACTGGGCTGGCCAATCTTAAAGCACCTTGACCTTCTTTGCTTTCAAGAACTATGATGTGTAGGCTGAAGTATAAGAAGTGCTATTCTGCTGAAGAGTTTGCCCTCTCCTGTGGTTTGTAATGTAATGAGCAGCACAAATGTCTTGATACCTCAGGCTGTTGATGTTGCCATCCACTCTGTAGATTTTTTGCACGCCTCCATACTGAATGTAACCCAAAACCATGATTTTTACTTCACCAAACTTGACTGATTTCCATGAAAATCTTGGGTCCATGGGGGTTCTAATAGGTCCAAATTATCGATTAGAAGTCAAGGTATTATTTGTTGCTGGGAACAAATAACTGGGATCAACGACAAGACTTTTGTCAGGTAGTGTAAGGGTTAATGGTTTGTTAATGGCGAGAATTGTACCTTAAAATAAAATGACCCTATTTTGTGTCAAATCAAAGTTTATAATATTGTGATTCTTATCATTACTTTCAATATAACACTTTAGCTGGTTAAAAATGGAAGAGTTGAAAATGGAAATAGCTATGCTTTAATCCACCTATTTTTATGATTTTTTTTTTATATCAATAAATAAATGCATTTTCCAGTGCTGGGTTGTGGCTAGAATGACATCCGCTGCGTAGAACACTGTATAAGTTGGTGGTTTATTCCATGTGGCGACCACTGATTAATAAAGGGGCTACTCTGAAAATAAAATAAATGAATGAATCAATGCTTAATGAAAACGCCATGCTGTGTATAAATTTTAAAAATGTGCATAAACAACGCATGCACACTTCTGAGTAGGATAGACTTTTTATCTGAACAGAAAAAATGTGCATACATTACGATAGAAACACATTTACTGAATAAATTCCAGCGTGATTTTGTTTCAACAGATCATGTGATAACAAAAATGGCTGTGATGGGACGGCATTAAAAGACAAACCAGCAGACTGGCCTCATCGCACATGGCCACATTGAACAACATCTGAATAGTTGTTTTGGTCATCGAAAATCCCTCAGCCAAAGTCTGTCATCAAAGTGGTTCAGAATTATTACCTCACAGATCTGACTGGCTGTGCTTCCAAAGTGTCTCGCAACTTCAATCACGCGTTCATGCATCTAGTCTTTGGCTGCTTCTAATGCACCAAAATCCATGTTTTGTTTTAATATTTGGCACTAATTTACCAGGAAGTGACTGTTTTCTTCTTTTTGACTCATTTGTTAAAAACAATGCTTAATTCTCAAATGTTTTATGCGATTATTCCGATTAAACTAGCATCTTTGGACGAAAACATAGCTAGATGTGGTAGCATTCACAGCTAGCTATGTTTTCGTCATACCTGTTCAAAAACATGAGTTCTCCTATTCAGTTTGGTGATTCTGGCAGCACATAAATGACCCCATTAACCTTTAAGTCCATCTCCCTTCCAGTTACGGTGAATGTGAGTGGCAGACAGATAGAAACTGAGGTCAGGACAGGTTAGATGAAAAGACCTGTGGCTCATTGTGTTTTCAGTCCGCAGGCCTCTCGGGGGCTTGTTTTGTTTATACAGCCGAATCAGCAGCATAAGAGAAGGAAGGATTACAGACAAACAGCACTCGACCGTGACAGGATAAGGAGAAAGGAGGTATCGGAGTCTTAAACCGCAGATCTACACACATATTAAACCCCAAATATGATCTGACTCTTTTTAAAGACTATCTTTATGGGCGCAGTGTCTTTTGTCCTTCAAATTTGCTCTTTCCCTGTCAAACAGATGTTCCGATGCTGTGATTAACTGTCTGGAGAGCGAGAGAGAGGATTCATTCTCAGGTTATTGTATCACTTGTCTTTTCTGTGTGGTGTTTATAGACAGTTCTTTTCAGACTGAGAGAGAAAGTGGTATCAGGGACGGAGCCAAGGAGAAGAGTTGATGTTTGGGGGGGGGTGGGGTTTGATTTAGGGGTGTGGTTGGGTATAAAGTCCAGGACTGAATAGTCTCATCTTGATGCCCTCTGGTCTCATTCTCTTTTCTCCCTCCATCTCTTCTCCTTTCTCCATCCCTTGCTCTCTCGGGACCCCTCACGTATACTGACCTGCGGGGAGATCGGAGAGAGATCATGCTGTCCGTACTGGCACTGACCTCCGTGGTGCTCTTGGGCATAGGTAAATACATTTCATCATTCTTGTGTTATTTTGTAACAAGATGGCAAAAAACTAACTACAAACCAGAAAAGATCCAGATTTCTTTTTTAATCTTCTGTTTTGGATAACTGTATGTTCAGACTCACCTGTGGTTTGTACACCTGGTGCCTACCTGTTTAGAACAGGCCAGCTTTGAGAGATATAGGTACATTAGAACACAACCAGAATACACTGTATTGTTTTATTTAAAATGTAATGGTTATATTCTGATTTAAATATAATGTGTTGTCTATAGTTTTTTCCTCCTTTTTCTAAATAATTTACAAGATGTTGACTAGATAAAATTACAGAATTAAGTCGGGCACTAAAACAGGCCTTTGTTCTCAAGGTGTGTGCAATTATTTGATAAAAATACAATAAAACAGAGATTTTGTGTAATGTAAATATAAAAAAAAACTGTATTTCCTATTTTTCCATAATTCTTTCAGTTTTTATTGTCACAAAATCCTTCAAAAATCATTCTAATATGCTGATTTGCAGCTTATTTTTGATCACTTAATATTGTCAACTTTTAATAATGATTTTAATTATTAATGTAGAAATATTTTTTTTTCTGAGTTGTTTTTGCTGAATCCATATTTCTGCTTTATTTATTTATTTATTTTTTTTTGTAGTTTTGTAAATCTTGCTCACCCTTTATTTTAAATTCTTTTTACAGTGTAACTATTCATTATACTATTCATCATCAATATACCCCTTGTACATTATTATTAGGTCACACTTTATTTTAAAGGCCCATTTGTTAAATTTAAGTTACATTGCAACTAATTCTCATTAGATTTTAAGTAGACTGTTAGGTTAGGATTAAGGTTATTGTAAGTTGACATGTACTTGCATAGTTTCTTATAGTCAGTTAAATGTCTGTTGAAGGAGCAGTATCGACAAATATTAAGGAAACATTCTAGTTATACTCAAATGGACCATTAAAATAAAGTGTTACTTATTATTATTATTATTATTATTCTAATTCTTCTTCTTCTTCTTCTTATTATTATTATTATTATTATTATTATCATCATTATTATTACACCTTTAAAATAAAGTGTAACTGAAGCCTTTAGTGCTAAATTGATTCTCACAAATGTAATTTAGATTTTATTTTCACTTTGTGCATCCCATCTGTCAGTTGCTTTTTTTTTGGTACACTAATAATTGTACTAATTATTACACTGTAAAACCCCAAAAGTTAGGGTAACTCAAAACCATTTGAGGAAACTGATTACAACAAACCATTTAAGTTCAAAAACTAATCCTAATGAGGTCTGTGAACTTAATCCATTTGAGAAAATGAAGCAATTTGAGCACAGTAAAATACAATAAATGAAGAGAACTCAAACCAATTGAGTACTGTAAAACTCAATAAGTTAAGGCAACTCAAACCGTTTGAGGAAACTGATTACTACAAACCATTTTAGATAAAACAAAAACTAATCTATAAGAGTACTGTGTACTTACTCTATTTAAGCTATTTAAGGTATTTAATTAAATCATTACCTTCAACACTGAGTTTAAAACTCTTTTCAAATGAGTAGAATTGAGTAGAATTAACTTTCAGTAAATTTTGAGTTAACTACACTCATTTCATTTGATAAAGCTGACTCTGTTGAGTTTGCAGTGTATTAATGTAAAAAATATATTTTTCTCCTTTATATTTTAGTTAAATCCACATTTCTACTTTACATTTATGTTGTTCTTTAAATCTTGGTCACACCTCATTGGCTGCCCTTGTTACAGTGTAACTATTCGTTTAACTGCTGAGTAATGTTAATTAATGACATATACTTACTAAATGGTTAGGTTAGAATGTGGGTTAGATTTAGGGTCAGTTGCATGTAATTATGCCTAATTAATTGATATGAAGAACAAGTAACAACAACACCTAAAATAAAGTGTTAGCAAATAATTTAGGGCTAAAATAATTCACTATTCACTTTGCACATTTCACATCTGTCAATTGTTGTTTTTTCAGCTCAATAATGTGCACTTCTGGTCAAAATTTTGGGGTCAGTAGGATTTTAAAAAGTTTTAAAATAAGCTTCTTCTGCTCATCAAGGCTTCATTTATTTAATCAAAAATACAGTACAGATTATACAATTGTGAAATGTTATTGCATTATAAAATAACTGTGCAAAAGTAGTTTAGAATTTATTCTAATAATTTACTTCAAGGATTTTAAAGATAAAAATTTTGCTTCATTACTACAGTCTTCAGAGTCACTTGATCCTACAGAAGTCATTCTAATATTAATGATTTATTATTATTAATATTATCAGCATTAATGGTAATAGTAATAAAGCAATAATGACTGGAGTAATAATTTAATTTTAAAATACATACAATAAGAAAGCAGTTATTTAATTTTTAAAAATAAATATTTACAATAAAAAAATATAAATAATTAGTAATATTTTTTTTACATTTGATAAATGTGCAATGAACTAATGAACAAAATAATTATCTTAAAAAAAAAAAAAAAACTGACCCCAAACATTTGACCGGTATATATGTCCTTGTGTAAGCTAATAATCCTGTGTTTGTATCCTCCAGCCTCTCAGAGCACGGCTCTAGTGGTGAACACAGACTCGGAGAAACATGCATTGGTGGGCTCAGATGTCAGACTCTCCTGCTCTTTCTTCTCCTGGCAGTGGACTTCTCCAGAAGTGTCCTTTACATGGCATTACCGTCCAGATGGGGCTAAGGACGCAATCTCAGTGAGTAGAATCCATATTTAACAAGTGTTTTCTTTTTATTTACAGTTGTGAATTGCTTTATGGGATGTTGATTTCTGTTCTGTTGACTTTTGATAACTTCTACAGTTTAACAAAGTGAATTCTATTGACATTTTAGTAGTTTGAAATAGAATAATGTATGTAATATAGAAAGAAATAAGTCTGTAAAATTACAAATGTATTTATTTTAATGTATTACAAATTTATTGCAAGATACCTATACCATAATATACAACACCAATCCAGACAATATATCATTTTAAACTGCTTAATGTTAATAAAAGTCTTCTTTCTTTTTTTTTTTTCAATTTTCAGCGTTAAAAACTGTTGGAAGAAAGATTAAGGTCCCATAATGCAATTCAAAAACATCAATAAATAGAAAAAAATAATAAAAAAAGGAACCACAAAATACAGAAAACTGCTCATTTGCGGTATTTTTTAAAGTGTATGCTCACTTTTTTATCCTTCTTCTGTTTATTAATAAAGTGAAAGGCATTTAAAACAACATAAGTGAAATAAAATAGGTGACAATAACATAAAACGATTTTCGAATAAATATATCAATCGTTATGTACACAAAGACACACTTGGATGCATTTAAAAGCAGATTAATTGCACTTATTTAGTTTTGATTGTAGCATTCATGTATTAAATGTTGCGATTATTTCTGAATAGTCAAGCAAACAATGTTCTGAACACATACATTTCACATCACATAAAAGTATTTGATTCCTTATTGTAGGTCTGCATTTCTAAATATCTCAAAAAGGCAAAGCTTTCTTGAGAGCAACTACTTTAATTTCACAACACTTAGCAGTTATTTGAATTTGTAATTACAGAACGAAGCCTCGTATTATTAACATGGTGTGATTTGCATTTCACTAAACTTGTTAAAAGGTGTGTTCACTGCCAGTGTAACTCGTATATCTGTATGAAAACATCCCCACCCCTTGGAAATAATATCCATGTGTCTGTGTGGTTTGTAGAGATAATTACCATGCAAATAGAAATATTAGGTCCTTGTGGGTGTAGTTCTGCTTTCTCGATTGTACAGTGCCATGCAAGCCAGCTGCATTCAGTTGTTGATGCTTGTTCCGACTGGTAATTCTGGAAGTTAAAAATATCGTTGTATTTGTTAGGCAGTGTAGCAGTGGTTTGATTAGCATAAATTAGTTTAATTTGTAATTTAGTTAACATTGTATGTAGTTTTGCTGCTATGTTTGCTTTTTAACTTATGTATTTGATATACTCATTAATGGGCACCTATGGTAAAAAATCTACTTTTCAAGCTGTTTGGACAGATCTGTGTGTTGGTATAGTGTATAGACCGTCATACTGGGGTGATATGAACACACCCAGTCCTTTTTTTTCAATTTAACTACAAAAAAAGGGTCGGCCAATTGGAGCTGTTTTCAAATTGATCGCACCATTGCGTAGGTGTGCGATCCCCCCGCCCACCGAATTGATTGACAGCTGCGCGCATTAACATGTTCCGGTAGTCGCGTGTATATTTCAACAAGACCAGACAGACATACGCAAAGCAACTGGGAATAAAAGCTCTGTTCTGTTCGCTAGGATCAGCAATCTAATGTGATTAAGAGTAAGTTTCACATGTTTAAAGTGTTTTAAAACAGAGTATGTGTGTAATTAATTACAGCGTTTTACTTCAGCTTTACTTCATCAGCACAGCCGCGTGTCAGAACAATTATAAAAGAAGACGCTTCAATCCCGGTTTGTGGAAGTTAAATCAGGTTTATTTTGTACATTAGCATAACAGATATCCACACAGTAACTTACTTGAGGTTAGCCTTAACTAAGCTAAGCACGCTCTGTCTGTCTGTCTGCCTGCCTGTGTGTGTGTCATCTGCGGTGAGTGTGGGTGCGCGCGTTAACTTTGTAACTATATTGTGTGTGACTCATCAATGCAACTTCACTATACTGATTAGTAAAGGTTAGTTCTTACTGTAGTATCTCACAAACGCTACGTGAGACCTTCTTCCTTTAAGTCTGTCTGTTGTCTGACGCAGCTGAGGGAGGAGGCATATAGAAATAGTGGGCGGGAAAGACTCGTCTTAAAGGCGCAGTACGACAAAACCACCCCCTGCTGGAAATCAGTATAAAACAGCATCTTGTAAAAGGTATAATGAAAAATCTGATGGGTATTTTGATCTGAAACTAAAAAAAAAAAAAAAAAAAAAAAAAAAAAAACTTTATATACACATTCTAGAGACGCAAAAGACTTGTATTAAATCTGAAAAAAGGGGTAACCTAGGTGCCCTTTAAAATAATAACATACAATAGTTATTCAAAGTAATATACAATTTTATGATATATGTGACCCTGGATCACAGAAGGGTCAATTTTTGAAAAACTGAGATTTATACATCAGCTAAAATCTGAGTAAGTTTTCCATGGTATATGGTTTGTTATATTTGGCTACTATATGAAAATGTAAAATCTAAGAAGAGTAAAAAAAATCTAAATACAGAGAAAATCACCTTTAAAGTTTTTAAAATTAAGTTCTTAGCAATGCATATTACTGATTCAAAATTCATTTTTTATATTTACTGATAAAACTTTACTAAATGTTTTCATTTCCAATCCAATTCAAAAATAAGCAAACCCAGTTTGCAAATTCAAAACAATATTCAGGAATACACAAATCCAATTCATAAATTCAAAACACAATTAAAAATACACAAATACAATTCATAAATTCAAAACATTATTCAAAAATACAAAAATTTTATTCATAAATTCAAAACATTATTCAGAAATACACAAATCCAATTCATAAATTCAAAACACAATTCAAAAATACACAAATTCAACTCATAAATTCAAAACCCGATTACAAAAAGACAAATCCAAATAATAAATTCAAAACATGATTAAAAAATTCACAAATCCAATTCATAAATTCAAAACACGATTCAAAAATACACAAATCCAACTCATTGTGACCAGTTGGATTATGTAAATGTTTGGCTTCATAATTTTTTAGCTGCTCCCAAAAATACATCCAGGCCACATATGACTGGTTTTGTGGTCCACAGTCGCATATGTAATTGTAAAAGAGGTTTTCTGTCCTCTGTTATGTAGATTTTCCACTATGGAGGTGGAGAAGCTTATCCAGCTAATAAAGGCCCATTCCAAAACCGCCTGGAGTTTGTGGGCAACCCTAGTCGCCGTGACGGTTCTATCCTGATCAAGAACCTTGATTTCGGAGACAATGGAACCTTCACCTGTGATGCCAAGAACCCACCTGACATCGGCGGCCACCCCTCAACCATTCGGCTGCTGGTGTTTGAGAAGGGTAACGGATCTCTATGAGTTTTCTATAACAAAAAAAAAGTGTTTTGCAGAGAAACACATTACAAGAAAGTCACTTGGGGTTCCTCTTTTGCTTTTTTGCTCAAACTATTAAGACTGCTTTTTGCCTTTAGGTCCATCTTGTTCCAAGGTGGCTTACAAAACCTGCGAGATCATATGGTTGCAGATGAAAGTTTGCAGCTAATGGAAGCGCAAAGTAACAGTAAAGCAGAGACCTGAGTGGTTTCCTTGTGTAGTTCTGTGAGCACGATTTCTGTGAAAAATAGCCACCGTTGGATCCAAATGCCTCACACAGAGCCTAATTCATCAAATAAATGCTTTTGTGCACAGGTGTTTTTGATTTTCCTCTTTGTTTTTCCTTTAAATAGTAGACTTAACTTCTCACTGCGGTATGCAGGAAGATGCTGGCTTGTTTGAAAAGGGAAAAAATGAGAACACTTCCAGGTGGACATTCACTGTTAAAAAATGATTTGTTCCACACAAATCCTTCTCAACACAAATCAATTAAGTGAACTTATTATTATTATTATTTTTTTTTTTCAAATTTAAGTGGATTGGACAAAACAATTAAGTTGTCCACCCCAAAAACACTCAACAATTGTTTTGATTCATCTCATTTTAAATAAGTACAGTTGAAGTTACAATTATTAGCTCTCCTCTGACAATTTTTTTTCAGAGCAAGAAATTGTACACAGTATTTACTGTAATATTTTTTCTTAAGAGACTCCTTAAGAGTCTTATTTGTTTTATTTTGGCTGGAATAAAAGCAATTTTAAATAAATTATTTTTAAAAAATGATGGTCAATATTATTAGCCCCCCTAAGCAAGTTTTTTCAATTGTCTACAGAACAAACCACTGTTATGCAATAGCTATGTTTCTATCAAAAGATGTGAATTAAATGTATTTGCAAAACTGGAATATCCCATAAGACGTGCGTTTCCATCCAAGTACTCAAAGAGTAAAAAATCGTGACTTCTTGATTGATTGGCGCCAAATATCCAAAATAAAATATAATTTGCTGTGGTAGGAGAATATGCGTCAATCTTTTCTTTATTTAATAAACATCTTGCGCCTCAGATTACAGTATGCCGAAGCGCAGTGATTGCATGGTGGTCTTAAAAGGCATGAGACGCGGAGCACAGATGCTCTTGACAGTTCAGGAGGCACAGCTCAACAATAAAGACTGCCCGTAGGCCCGGGGCCAGCATGTGAGACAGGCTTGGGACAGTAGACAGGATAGTTATTGCCTAGTCATTAAAATTTGATTTGCTTGCGACTATTTGTCAATTGCGTGCAAATACAGTGTTAGAATCGAGAAACAGTTTGTTCTTTTAAGCCTTCAAACGCTACCTTCTCTGATGTCTTAACACCACGTTGCTTTTCGGTTCCTCTTATCCGATTGGATGTTTTGAGCACGTTATTTTTTCCATAAAATTCAGTCCAACGAAAAGACGACAATATGGCAACAACATCAAATGATGCTAAATAAAAATGTCTATTTCTAACATCTTGGAAGCACACATTTACATGGGTAGAAGACATCGAAAAAAATGAAGCGATGTTTTGTACAGTTTGCCCCCAGTTTGGCAGGTTAAGGGGGTCACACACCAGAAGTGCCACACCGCGTATAGCCACGCAGCGACATGCATTTTAGAATTCTAAACATAGGTTTCTATCAGGGTACACGCACTGGCGCTGCATGTCCGCAGCTGTCCGCGAAGCCCAGCCACGACTCATGACACTGCTCATATTTCTGCCCCGCCACAGAGTGCAATCTGATTAATTTTAAATAGCATGCAAGTGTGCGGGTCTGGTGTGATACTTTTAACTGTCATATGCGTGACGTACCGTGGCGCATCCGGTGTGTGACGCACTTTAGCCACCTTTTGTTTTGCAATAAAATACCTGCACATTTGGCATACTGCTACTTTTGTTTGCAATACACTTCGAATTTTGCTCATTATACATTTATTAACATTTTTTAAATATTTAAATTCTAGATTTACAAACTTTTTTTGACCATTTTATAAAAATATGTGGCTAAGAAATAGCTATTAAATTTTCTCATTTTTTTGGTGGGGTCAGTGAAAATATTGTCAGGGCAAGTAAAAATCTGAATCGCTGGTCCGATCGGGCCAGTAGAAAAAAATCCTTAACATTAATAATATAGTAACAGTAATACTGATATGGTTAAGTTGTTTTAGAATGATCAAAACAACATTTCAGATGTATTTTACAGTGTACTCAGCCTGCTGGTTTTTCCATTTACACACATTTATACACATTTTAAGATCACATGATCTCTTATAACAAAATCACATGACTTTTTTTTAATCCGCATTTTACAATTTGTTTGGTAAGTGTTTCCATCATAGTTTATGCACATCTTTTCTTAAGTTTATCCTACTCAGTTATGTGCATACATTTTTTTATGCGCATTTTCAAAATGTATGCACATCTTGCCGTTTCCATCAACCATTTTTATTATAGCATATCCAAAATGTGCATAAAAGTAAGCGGATGGAAACATAGTGACATAGCTTCGACAAAGAGTTAGTTTATGTACATTTCAGTTAAGTTTTAGTTTCTTTTTTATAATTATTTTTTCAGGGGTATTTCCTTTATTATGGTAGAACAATAGAGATTTCAGACAGGAAAGCACTGGGAGCAGAAAGAGGAATAGGATTGGCAAAGGACCTCGAGCTGGGAATCAAACTCAGGTCGCCGTGAGCACGTCAACCCTATATGTCGTCTTACAGTACCACAGTTAATTTCTTTAATTGTTTTGTACATTTTAGTTTTTATTTTGTGAACAAATTTCTATTTAGTTGTAATATGTTTAGGTTGAGTTTTAGCTTTAGTAATTGTAGTTTAACAGAGGTAACAGATGACATCCAGTGTTGCCCAAAGTAAAGTTTAGTGTTTGTGCAGTTTACATTAACAAATTAACGAATTAAAGTAAAAATTGTTCAGAATTCAGACAAATGTCTTCATGTTAATGTTCGTGTATGTAGCTAACTATACATCTGTTCATCTGTTTATTGTTTGAGTGTTTATTAATTATTAGTTTTTATGCACATATGCAAAATGCACATAAAAATAGGTGGATGGAAACACAGCTGATGACTTGCCTTATTACCCTAACTAGTTAAGGCATTAAATTGCACTTTACACTGAATACTAGTGTCTTGATAAATATCTAGTACAATATTATGTGCTGTCATCATGGCAAAGATAAAATAAATCAGCCATTAGAAATGAGTTATTAAAACTATTATGATTAGAAATGTGTTGAAAAAAAATCTTTCTGTTAAACATAAATTGGGGAAAAATATACAGGGTGGGCTAATAATTCTGACTTCAACTGTAGTTTGAACGAGCACTAAAACTCATTTTTGGAGTGTTGATTGATGCTCTGTGAGGTTATTTTTTCAGACATAGTTGTGAAAAACTCCCATCACATAATACAAGTGCATTAGGAAAAAATACGACCTGTAAAACTGTGAGGTGTGTAATCTGCAGACCTCAACACTCCTCACTTTATATTCTCTCTTTTTCCTCTCAGTTCCAGTGCAGGCTGGTGTGATAACGGGCTCCATTATTGGTGTAGTGTTGGGACTGCTGATCCTCGTTGTGGCAATTTACTATCTGATGCGCTTCCTGGTGGCCAGAAGGGTGTTCAGCTTGAGCATGAGGTCAGTCTGGGAGCATCTGCTTCCTCGAGCTCGACCCGAACCTCTGCCTGGCCTCGACACACAAGCTCCTATACACACACACAGTCTTGCCAGGAAACAGCCCAGATCTCCTGTAGCCACACACTCACCCAAAAACACACGCGTCACGAGCGAGGCATTGTCGAAAGCCCCAATCGAGCCAGCGGGTAGTAAGTCACCAATTCTCGCTTAGCTGAATGGTAGAATGCAGCTTATTTTACCAAGAGTTTGTTTTGTTTTTATGTGCCAGTTGTCAATGGGTGTAAAATTAAAAAGCTAATAAAAAAATTTACACTTTATAAAAACTCCTTCATAAACCTTAGTAAGTTATTCAGTTTGAGTGAAGTTAGTTATTATTTAGACATTGTTTTACTTGATGTAATTTTCAGTTTTAGTTCATTTCTTTAGTGGTTTTGTAAGTTTTAGTTTAGTTTTTATTTTGATTTTATATGAAAAATTTTATTCATAATATTATTCAATATTATTTATATTTAGTTGTAATATGTTTAGGTTAGGTTTTAGCTTTAGTAATTGTAGTTTAACAGAGTTAACAGAAGACGTCCAGTGTCGTGCAGTGCAAAGTTTAGTGTTTCCACAGTTTACATAACCAACTTAAATGAATTAAAGTAAAAAATATTCAGAATTCAGACAAATCGTCACCTTAGACTTATAGGGTTCTATCTGACATTTTTGTTAAAATTTAGTTATTGATATTCTTATTAATTGACATCTTATTTACATTACGGGATATTTTTATAAGTGGTTTACATTTTAAACATTTTTATTTAAAAAAAAACAAATATATCTCACAATCATTCAGACGAAATGTCTTAGGGCTCTATTTTGACGGTCCATGCACAAAACGCAGGGCGCAAATGCTTTCAGGGCGTGTCAGGACGCGTTTTTGCTAATTTAAGGACGGGAAAATCTACCTTGCACACATGGTCTAAAAGGGTTGAGTTTATTTTCTTAATGAGTTATAGGTGTGTTTTGAGAATAAACCAATTAGAGTCTCATCTCCCATTCCCTTTAAGAGTCAGCTGCGTCGTGCCAAGAGCGCATTCGCTATTTACAGGACGCAAAGTAAGTCTAAGTAGAAAAAATGAGCATTTCACAAGCAAACAGTTAACAGTTTTTTTTACAGAAAACTGTAAAACAGAGCATCTACTGCGTGAGAATGAGAGATAATGGATCTACTTTCACATTTGCTCTTGGATAGGGAACCTTTACGCACAGACATCAATTAGTCTATAAATAAATAATTTTGTTTGTTAAGCGCAAATATTTGTTTCAAAACTATTTCTAAATTCAGTTCTAATTTCCAGCAAACGAATAAATGAACAATAATAACAAAATATGCTCTAAAACCTGAGTTATATCCTAAAACGCATGCTGTGCCCCATATGGTCTAAAACCTGCAGGTGGGCAAATCTAAGCTTGTTTTTAATAAAACAATATAATAAATAATACTGCTAATAATAATAATATTATACAAAAGCAAATTGTTATGAATGAACTAAAAAAGCCTCCCGAGATGAAGAAGACATAAAAGCAGTGATTTTTCATATTTATGTAGGCTAGAAAATAATATGTTTTGTAATATTTTAATCCTTTATATTTATATCCTATATCTATTCTTATTATATCTTATATATATATATATATATATATATCCTTAATATTTAAATTTTTTCATATGTAAAGATATTTGCCTATTGCTTTCTTGTGCGTATTAAGCAGTGCGTAAGCGAGGTGCAACTCTGCACCGGAGTTTAGACAAATCTATTATAGTTTCTCAAAATAGCAATGCGCCAGCGGTCCGCCTCAGAACGCCTTTCTTTTTAGACCAGAACGCCTATGGCCGCACAAATGAGCGCTAATGCATTTGCTATTTAAACAGCGTAGTGCAACGCCTCAAAACGACTCTTGCGCCAAGCTGAAACTACCAAAAGTCTATTGCGCCGCGCCTTGCGCCACACTGCGGTGTATGATAGGGCCCTTCATGTTTAAGTTCATGTGTGAATTTGTTCGTCTGTTAAAGCGCCATCCACTGGTATTTCTCTTAACAACTGCAGGTCAGGTTTTCTGCCACAGAACGAGAGCTTATTAATTCGTAAAATAATTATTTTTGCTAATTATTTAATTTCAGTTTGTTTTTCAGTGACTGTTATTAGTTTTACATTTATTGCTAATTTGTTTTGTTAAACTATTTGTTAAATGTTTTTGACTGATTTCTAGTTTCCCTTGATAAAGTTAACTGTTTTCAGTGATTTAATCACACATCAGCCTAAACATCTTAGTGAATAAGGATTTGTTTTGCAAAAATACTGAAATATTTAGAAATTTAAATGTGAACCCATGAAACCCACATCTATGGCTTATACCCAGTTCAGACCACAAGATTTTCAAAGTAGTGGTGTCACGGATGTTTTCACACTGCATGGCTATTTGGGCTAGTTTTTAGTCAGTGCTGTGTTTACACTGTTGGATGGATCGGCGGCAGGGGGTTTCACATCGATGATTTTAAAATAGGAAGAATTGCTACAAACTACATCTTGCAACCAAACACATGGGAGAAGTGACATGGAAACAAAGCGAGGTTACATAGTATATCTTTCATTATTAACTACATAATAGAAAAAGAAGGTGCAGTAGAAAATTTACTTATTTTGCTCACCTGGTTTTGCTTTGGATCTACACTTCAATTTACAGGCCATGATAGTTTTCACTGTAGTGCCCTTAGGAGGGCGATATATTCCACTTGAAATTCACAGCTGAACACATTCCTCTCAAATGCATATGTAAAGTGCGCTAGCTTATTTCACAATATTAGTTCACACAGTTGTAATCGGGGTCTGAAATGTTTTGTTAAATGCTTTCAAACAGCCACAAAAGACCAGCCACCCATCGCCTACTGACCTAATTCTGAAACAGTTGTTGTTGGGATTTGATGTTGAAACCAATTAAGCCACAGAGATGGGAAAAGGCTAGAGTTTACTAAATTTTAACACAAACTCTGTGTGTTCGGCATAATTTTATGGCTATCAAAAAAAAAAAAAAAAAAAAACTGCTTCTCTCCAGCTTCCATCGTCTCCCTTCATGTTGCTTATTTCACAAAATTGGAACAAAAGACCAGAAAAAGCAAACATACAGTCACCCATAGACCATCCTTTCAGGAAAGAGGAGACTAAAATACATAGAAGTTGTAAATGGGAATTTCTCCCACTGTACATATGATTTTTAAAGCGGGTGTCAACAGAGACTATAGGACACCTAGCTACCAAGCAGTCCTCCATCCAGCAGATGGCTGCGTTGTTCATGCAAATTTTTGTATGTTTGTTTCCCTTAGCAAACATGGCAAGAAAGGCAAAGGAAAAGAAGGATCACAGCAAAAACAGGCAAGTGCTCACCTGCCTCCATCCTAGACACGCACACACTCCTTAAAACACACACAGACAGATGCACACACACACACACAAGCTTGCTAGTTTCTTTCACTTGTTCTGTTAAAGTTCTCCTGTCCTCCACTGCTCTCCTCACTCTTATGTCTATGGTCAGTTTTTCGTTAAGGCTATGTTTTGTTATAAATATGTATATATTGTTTTAAAAATACAGCAAATGCAATATTGTAAAATGTTATAATAATGTTAACTTTAAATAATTAACTATATTTAAACATGCAATTTAGTCCAATGATGCAAAGCTGAATTTTTAGCATCATTATGTCTTAATCAATCTGCTCATTTGGTTTGCAAGAATTTTTTTTTCTAATTGTTTTTTGTTGAAATTGTGATATAGTGCTATTTGCAAATTTAAGATTTTTCAAATAGATATTTATTTTATTAGTAGAATAATCATTAAAAATCCACAATATTAAGCAGCAAAAACTGTTTCCAAAATGTATAATTATATAAACATACTTAAACTTCAATAAAACTGAAGTAATGGCTGCTGAAAATTCAGTTTTGCAATCACAGAAATGATTTATAATTCAATTTACAATTTAAATGTAAATACTTCCTAATTCTTTAATAAACAGAAATAAATCATAATAGATATATTATAAATTCTATAGTATAATAATGTTATAAATACTGTAATATCTATGGTAATTTGTTATTAAAATTATTTCTATAAAAATAATCAAATAAAACAATATTATTATTAATAATCTAAAATTATCAGACAAACTTTTTAAAATAATAAATACAAAATAAAACCTAACAATAATTTAAATAAATGAAAAGTTTAGATGCAAAAACCTCTAAGTGCCACCATTAGCATTTTTCTCAGGCTCCAATGTCTTTATTCTGTAATTTCATTTTTTTGGCAGAGTATAGGTTATTTTTTTTTAATCAACATTAACATGAAATAACTGAAGAAAAATCTAGATGGCACTTAGAGGTTTTTGTATCTGAACTCTTTAAATACTTTTAAAATTATTCAGTACTACAGGAAGGTCAGATGCATGGCAGGTGAGACTCCTGGTAAAACTAAATCTACCTCAGTGGTTCTGCTCCTCTCTGTATGCCAATTGTATCCATATTTGTAATCCAGTACAAGTCATCAAAAACAAAAGCAGAGGAGATTTGAGATGTAGCAATAGTGTCAAAAGTAACTTATTGCATTATTGGATGCGTTCTTAATTGTTGACTGAGTTTAAGCTGTGTAAAAAGCAAAGAGGTATGTAGTTGAAGTCAAAATTATTTGTCCCTCCTGTGATCATTTATTTTATTTTATTTTTCCAAAACAATGATTAACAGAGCAAGAAACAGTATTTCACAGTATTTTCCCATATTTTTTTCTTCGTATATTGTTTTGTTTTATTTCGGCTAGAATAAAAGCAGTTTTTAATTTTTTTAAAAAACATTTTAAGGTCAAAGTGATTATCCCTCTTAAGCAATATTTTTTCTATTGTGTACAGAACAAACCATCATTATACAGTAACTTGCCTAATTACCCTAACTCACCTAAATAGTTTAGCCTTTAAATGTCACTTTATTATATTAGTTATTAAAACTATTGTGTTTAGAAATGTGTAGAAAAAAATCATTAAACAGAAATTGGTGGAAAATATATACGGGGGGGCTAATAATTCTGACTTCAGCTGTATATCAGGATCCAGAATACATTTCCTGAAGAGAACTTTGGGAATAAATTAAAGGTTAAACCAAATATAACAGAAAATGAACTTTTACTGTGGGCTCTTCCCTATGGCCTTGTGGACTTGGGAACCGTCAAATCAGTATCACCGAACTGGCAATCAAATGGAGCTCATACATCTCTTTCCTCTGCTAACGTGCCATTCATTTGCATACCGACTTACTTTCCTTTCTCACTGGGATTATTTTCTTCTGTGCACTTTATCATTCACCTCCTCCACATCACTGATTTTCCTCCTCTAGCTTTCCCTTCCCGCTGTCCTCCATTCTCTCTGCAGGTGAACAGTAAAATGCTGTCAGAGCCAATCATGTTTCCACTTTAATCATGTATTATATCATGACAAACACCATCACGTACAATCAGACCACTGCTTTCCTGGCACGCATTTCATCTCTTTACAGGATCAAAACAGAAGATTTCCAATCTTGTATTGTTTATGTTCTTTCTGTTTTCATTGCCTTTCTTCCTCCTTTCCGTTTCAGTATGCACTTCGCTATTTGTACTCCTGAGGTGTGCGTCTCCTGTCAGCTTCACTCTTTCTCTTTCATTTTCTTGGTTCTGTCAGTGTAAACCCAGTCTACCCTCCAATATCCAGTCGACGGAATGTAGGTTGATAGATTTTGTGTGCTGCAGAACAGAACTAAAATCTCTACAACTTTAAATCTCGTAGTGGAACTTGCTGGAAAAGTTTATAATACGAAATCATATGTTTTGGCATTAAAAATTAGTTCTAGGAATGAGTTCTGTCAACAAAATTCCAAGTTTAAATTTGAGATTAACTGAAATACTTTACTCTGTAAAGATGAAATGTTTAGTATGTGCTCTACTACTGCACGCTTTTTAGTAATAGAAGTAAGCAGATTTTCATTTTTGGGTGAACTATACGTTTGTTTTCCCAAAACATACAGATTGCACTTTTTATTATTTTGAGGGAAAAGGGGCATTCATAACTCAACATTTTGTATTTTTTCTTAATCAGAATACACTTAAAATTTAAAGAACAATTTATCCAAAAATTTATAATTTGCTATTTAGTTTTCTTTAAGGTCATTCGGCTGCTTTTTCTTTAGCAGAATAGGATGTTTCTCTGAAACTGTAATCCTTGGTGATTCATAAAATGCAAGTCGACATTTACTGGCATTTGAGATTCAAAAAACATACGCTAAATCGATTCCCAAAATGTCTAAATTTGTTTTTGACGATCAAAGTACCCATTGATCACCTGATTTGAATGTTCTCACTCAATTGAATGAGCATTATCTGTGGATAGATATGGGCTCAGAAGGCTGTAATCATCCATCCACATAGGTAATCTGCTATACTAATAGAGAAGACTCCAGATCCAGATCTGTTTAACAGTACTGTGATGGTTGGGTTTAGGGTTGGAGTAGGGGTAGAGAAGACTCCAGATCCAGATCTGTTTTTACAATGCTGTGATGGTTGGGTTTAGAGTTGGAGTTGGAGTAGGGGTAGAGAAGACTCCAGATCCAGATCTGTTTTACTGTACTGTGATGGTTGGGTTTAGAGTTGGAGTTGGAGTAGGGGTAGAGAAGACTCCAGATCCAGATCTGTTTTTACAATGCTGTGATGGTTGGGTTTAGAGTTGGAGTAGGGGTAGAGAAGACTCCAGATCCAGATCTGTTTTTACAGTACTGTGATGGTTGGGTTTAGATTTGGGGTAGGGGTAAAAAGACCCCAGATCCAGATCTGTTTTACAGTACTGTGATGGTTGGGTTTAGAGTTGGAGTAGGGGTAGAGAAGACTCCAGATCCAGATCTGTTTTTACAGTACTGTGATGGTTGGGTTTAGATTTGGGGTAGGGGTAAAAAGACCCCAGATCCAGATCTGTTTTACAGTACTGTGATGGTTGGGTTTAGGGTTGGAGTAGGGGTAGAGAAGAGCCCAGATCCAGATCTGTTTTACTGTACAGTTTAGGGTTGGGGTAGACATTAATAAAATATAATTATTGGGAAATTTAATAAATAATTATTGTGGTTAATCAGCAGTACTAATAGAAAAAACTCCAGATCCAGATCTGTTTTTTGAGGTAGGGGTAGACGTTAATAAAATAAAAATAATAGGAAAATATATAAATATAAATAATTCTCATCCGGTCGCAGCCGTATGTGATCTGCAGCTGATTATCCATGTGGATGGATGATAACAGCCTTCTGAGCCTACAAAAGGCTCCTATTGGCCCATATCTATCAGCTGATTATGCCCATTCACTCGAGTTATGACATTCGACTTCTGCATTATGTGAATTATGGAGGAATGCAGTTTGAGCAAATAAATACAAAATAAATTTTTAATGTTATACTGTATAAGCAAGTCTTTTACATCTTGGATGCCATTAGAGTGAACCTAAATTCAACATCACGTTTAAACGTTTTTTTGTGTAGGTTTTGAAATCAAGTTTTTGAAAAAAATTATGAAAATAATGAGTTTGTTAAAAATATATTTCAATGGGATAAAAAAAACTTCATTCTTACCCTATTGACACATACAGTGTTTGATTATTTTGTAGAACACGAAATGTAGTATTTTATTTCTGAATCAAATGTATCTAACTCAGTGGTCTCGAACTCAATTCCTAGAGGGCCGCAGCTCTGTAAAGTTTGGCTCTAAAAGTCTCTCTTTATTCAGGAAAAGTGCAGAAAACTCCAAAAACAATGATTCACTTAACCCTAATTCACCCCAAAATGCATTTTTTTTCACCCACTTATTGAAACCTGTGTGAGTTTCTTTCTTCAGATGAAATTTTAAAGAATCATCATTGGTCCCCATTTAAATCCAAAGTATTTTTCCCTATTATGTAAGTGAAACCTTTTGGTACTTTGCAAGTATTGAACATGTCACCATTTTTCTCAGAAAACATATTTCTCAAGGTGCTGTTGACTTGAAATTTTACCTGTATATTAGAAACAACCAAAGAAAACTGTATATGCAAATAAAACAAATCTAATTAGTTTACAAATGAAGTTATGCATTATAAAATGAAATGACACAGGGTAAAAGTATTGAACACACGAAGAAAGGGAGGTGTAGAAAGGCAGGGAAAGCCCAGACAGCAGCTGAAATCTCTCAGTAGTTATTCAGCAACCCTCTGCCCTTCGTCATTGTAAATTAAAATTAGCTGCTTCAGTCCAACATCTACATTAACAGGAAGACGAAACCAGAGTAGACATTTCAGCAAGACAATGATCCAAAACACAGCCAAGGAAACTCTCAAATGCCTTCAGAGAAAGAAAATCAAGCTGTAGAATGGCCCAGCCAATCACCTGACTTGAATACAATTTAAAATACAAATTAAAGATCAGATTTGATAGACGAGACCCACAGAACCATCAAGATATTTTATACTCTGTTGAGGTCTGTGAAAAACTCACACCTGAGCAATTGATGTGACTTCATTCTCTGTATGAGAGTCTTTAAGCTGCCGTCCCCCCAAAAAACAAACTTTTATATAAATTATTAAATAGATTTGAGTAGTTTTTATTGAAATAGGGTTCAATACTATGTCAACAGCTCCTTTAGATATATTATTTCCAGGGAAAAACGTGACATGTTCAATATTTACTGTATTTTCTTCACTGTATATTTTGTGTTCAGCAGAAAAAAGAAACTCATTCAAATTTGGATCTAAACATCGAGTAAATGTCATATTTGCGTGAACTATCATATTAAGTTGAGTTACATGTGCAGCACCATTTCCGGTTTCTGACAGAACTGAACTCAAGCTTCTTTTGTGGAAAGACAAACAAAGATAATCAAACATGTTTCAGCATCCCCAGACTGAGCGGGGTCAAAGGTCAGCTGTATGACAGTTCTTTTGTTTAGGTGCTGTGATGTCACACTGTCACTCCCTAACTGGCCACTTCCTCTTTTGTCCCCCCTTTTCCAGAAACCGAAAGTTCCCCTGGTGTTCATCTCCTTCTAACCACCTGTTTAGCATTTCTTTCTTCTTCATCTTCTCTTCTTTAATGAAACTACCTCCCTTTTTCTGGTTCAACACATCCGTCAAACTCATCTGACCATTCCCACTTAACCCCTTCGTTCTCCTTCCCTCTCTCTCTCTCTTTTTCTTACTCTATTTCTCTCTCTCTCTCTCTCTCTCTCTCTCTCTCTCTCTTTCCTCCCGTAGTGACTCACTCCTCCCCTCTCCACACTCCCTCTCTTTCCAGGCTTCGGCTGTGACGGATCCGGCCAAGCTGAAGGCGGCAGCATCAGAGAAGAAGAAACAGGAATCTCGCAGGGAGAAGAAATAGGGATTGTGGAGCAGAGAGCTAGAGCTCCAGAGCGGGGCCGCCTCCGCCCAGACCCAAGCCCAGGAGGAGGCAGCGGGGATGGGCGGGCAGGGCAGGGTTCTTATGACCATTGAGCTAGAGCTCACTAAACAGGAGAAAGAGGGAGGGCAAACTAAAACCGGTCCCGCCGCGTTCTTTTCTCAACTCGCGCGCAAAATTACTCTCAAATGAACGAGACGGGTATGAAGAGAAGAGGGGGTGGTGGAGAGTTTTTGGAGGCGAGGAGTGAAAGATGAATCCTTTATAAAACAGGAGGACAGGAGAGGGGTGAAGTTTTGCTCTTTTTAATATCAACTGTGTGGTTTAAAAGAGAAAGAAAAACACTGTGTCCAATTTAGGTGCGTCATGATAAAAGACAAGTGATAATCTTTCACAAATTGCTTGAACAAAATGTACTGTTATAAAATATGGTTAGGGTAGCTCCACTCACATTGCAATCTCATTGGTTCGAATGGGTTTTGGACTAAAATGTCTTAAGCATGCTGTCACTTTATATTGTATAATTATATCGTTGATACAATTCTGGGTTCTTCTGCCCATATTGCAGTGCCATTGAGGCAAAATCACTTCTACTGTGAGGTTCGAAAGACAGAAAACCTGGAACAAATGGAAGAAATTATGATTAATGTCTGAATTATATTTCTGTTACGTAAATCCTAGTAGCTTTAAACAATAAATACAATTATAAATAACTCGGTTAGTGTTTTTTGTGCTATACTGACAGCAACACTTGTTGTATGAACTCCACTAGTTGGATAATGCTTGGATTGCATTTCTCCTAATGTCACTAGGTGACACACTCAATGCATTTTTTTCTAAAACATCCCGTAATTTCCAAAATATCAGCCTCTACATAATGGTTTATGGTAAAAGTACCGAAATTAATATATTTACTATGAAAAGTTAGAAATTTTGAAGTGTAAGACCAATCTATTTTAAAACGAAATAAAACATTTTTGAATACCAAATCATCTTTATTTTTTGAAGTATGCCATACAATATTTCACATTTAATTATTATTATTATTATTATTTTTTTTACAATAAAACCAAAATCAAGTGTAGTAGTGCAACAGGATAATGTTTGTGAGATTTTTTTGTAAACCAACAATGCTGTGTGTAAGCCATTATTTAAAACAGTCAGTCTTTAAATGACTTTAACAGTCATTATTTACAACAGTCATATTTTGGTCAACCATTCGGTAGAACGGGTAGTTAAAGAATTAAGTAGATGAATATCTGTTCAAAGGAATTCATATGCACAATATTTCTTACTTAGTAAATCAGAAATATTGTAGCATTTTGAATAATTCTTATTCATTTTATATCCAAAATCCTGAAACATTGCTTTCATCCAGGCTTAAATGCCAGGTTTTCAACGTTTGAACCTCTCTCTAGCCATAAAATGTGAATCTGTTCTCTGAAAATGCACTCTGTTTTTGTTTTCAAGGAGCACAGATAAATTACCTGCGGCCTGAAAGTCTTTGTGTCGCACCTGGTTAGGACACAGTCTTTTAAAAACCCAAAAACACTTCAGCAGCACACATTCACAACAAAACCCCAGGCTGAGAGCCTTCAGCTCCGAACACACTGTGACATGTGTGTTTGAGAGCTGTAATAGTGGCAGAATGCTCAGCATTTCCACTTTTGAAAGGGATAGTTCATGCAAAAATTGAGAAATACTAATCCTTCACTTGTTCGAGTTTCTACTGAAGGAAGATATGCTGAAGAATGACTTCCATAGTATTTTTTAATCCTACTATAGACCATTTCAGTGTGGTCATGTCATTGACCCATGATCATTTCCTGCTTGTTATCAAACTATTTCATAACTGTAACAAGAGGCAATTCAACTTCATGTTAAAGCAGCTATCATAACGTTATTTATTCATATGTGGCTCTTTTTGGATTCTCAGAAGCTATAGAAATTAAAAATGTAAAACAGAAAATACATTGAGACCAATGTTTTAGTTTACACCCCTCAAAATGGTCTATAAATGTCAATGGCTTCTTATCCCCCAACATTCTTCAAAATATCTTGTTTTTGTTTAACGAAGAAAGAAATTCTTTAATTATTAGAACAACTTGAGTGTGTTTAAATGGAGAAAGTATAGGTGAACTATCCCTTTAAGTGTCAGACCACCTCTCTCTGTAAACAAATACAATCCTACATACGAACACAATCCTAGCCGTATACTTTTCACATTGTACTCTTGCTGAAAAGTTCTTTTGGAAACTTTATATTAACTGTCTTTTTTTTCCCCTATTCCCTCCCTCTCTTTCTCTGTTTTTACTGCCTGTCTCTGTTTTGTTGTCTGTCTTTGTACTTCGTCTCCTCTAATCTCTCTTCCTTATAGCGTATCTGACACCCTTTTTCTGGTCATTTTTCTACTTTCACATGTATAAATTCATCTCATCATCTGATACACTGGTGCTATTACTTCCTGTAGGCCGGCCCCCAAAAGTAGCCTCCCATCCCCACCCTTCATTTACTGAGAGCTAAATATATAGCACTAGTATTTTTAGTCACACACACTTTTTAGTCTCACTTTTTAAAATTCCATTACAGTCAAAGAGAATTCCTTCTTTCGGAAACACACACACTCACTAACACTCATCTCATGTATCCCATCACGCAGTTTTAAGTGCCTTCCCAAAGTACATTTACAGCGAATCTGGCTTAGTTTTTGCTCTGACAGCGTCGACTGAAATACCCGAAATGACGTTGATACTGTTGGCAGCGAAACTCAAACATGCTGTGAGAGTTACTTGACACTCTAAGCCAGATTCTCACGTCTGTTGTCTGACAAGCAGCTGATTATTTTAAAGCACACTTGTAATGGCAGAACGACCTCTGTCTCCATTCTGCCCCTTATTTTTTTAAGCCAATGAGGGCCGGCTCCTATGGAGGCACTGTCCCTCGACCTTCATATATCATTAGTAAAGCTCCATCGCTCCATCCCGAATCATAGTTTTACTTCACCTCTCTCTAATTCTCCTCTAACTATCATAAACGCTCATCCACCAGCTCCTCTTCTCATTCCCTGTTTCTGCTGGTATGGTGCTCTCTCCTGCCCCCCTGCTGCCCACAGGAGAAACATTTACATTCGGCCAGTCACAAAGACGTCAATGCAAAAACAAAAAGTTAATTTAACTAGCTCTCTGCAGACTATGAGGCGCATGTGTATGTTTTTATTCTGATGAGATGTAACCTGTCAACATTAGGGGAACAAAACAACATAAAGACGCCATGTCATTGTAAGTAATGAAAATCCTATGACTGTTTGTGTGTCGGAAGCAGAAATGTAATAGAGTTTTAATGATGTTTAATAATGTTTCTGCACTTTCATTTGACTGACGTGGCGGTGTTCATGTGGCTGCTGCTTCACAACAGTGTTTACCATCAGCTTGTTGGCTTGCTAAGTCCACAGGAAGTGATGCAACGAGGGCAGAGAGGTTTTCGAGAGAGATATAAATGATGAAATACCGGGTCGGAGACTTGGACTGAATACATATTGAGGGGAAAAGTCAGGCCAAAGTCCAGTAAACATTCTCACTGGATGTGTTTTTGTGTCTTCAAGTCTTCGTGTCAACCCTGAGACCGAGAGGGGCTCTCATCGGGAAAGTTTTAGAATAGTGAGGGCTTGTGGGAAATATGTTTGTTACACTAGAGACAGATGCTTTTTATGCATCTCAGAGTTGAGGTCGAGCAGCCACATGGCTTCTGCCATTAAACTGTGTTTAAATATTGGGGAATCGCCATGTTGTATGTATTGTGTGCCCCTGTATTGGTAAAGGTCTAGGTAACCGTTCTCTCTTTAAACTCCATTTAAAACGGCTAATAATTTTTTACTTTTATTTTGACTTTAACCTCGCTAACATTGGTTTTCTGTAAAATGTCTTGTAAAATGTAAATGCTCAAGTTCAAATAATTTCAGAAAAATGTCAATAAAAAAATCAGATCCCTCGTGTGTTTCCAATGTTAGATTGACTTGTGTTTAGTCTGGGTTATGAGAGCTGCATGAATAGGCAATTAGGACATTTAAAATGTAAAAAATCTGAAATTTGTCATTTATTCATTCATTCATTCATTTTCTTTTCAGTTTAGTCGCTTTATTAATCAGGGGTCGCCACAGTGAAATGAACCGCCAACCCAACACTGGAAAACACCCATACACACTCTTTCACACACATACACTACGGCCTATTTAACTTATTCAATTCACGTATACTACAAGTCTTTGGACTGTGGGAGAAACCGGTGCACCTGGAGGAAACCCACGCGATCACAGGGAGAACATGCAAACTCCACACAGAAATGCCAACTGACCCAGCCGGGGCTCGAACTAGTCACCTTGTTATGAGGTGACTGTGCTACCCACTGCTCCACTGTGATGCCCATCCTAAATTTGTATTATTAATTTAACTTTGCTATTAGCTATGCATAAGCTATGTTTATGTCAGTAGCATAGTTGAGATTGTATTTGTTTTCTATTTTCTGTAATTGTGGGTGACTTCTGATTAAAATTTGCTGCAGTATGCAAGCCGACTACAAATAAATAAACCTTAAATTTGTTTATATTTTAAAATTAAACCAGTTTATATGGTTAGCCTACATTAAAAAATAGGAAATAGGAAATATGCCATAACAAACACCTGTGAACATTGTGATAACGTACCCCTATATACATTGTTGAAGAGAGCAAATTATGTCCTAGGAGGTACGTTTTTTGCAGTTTTTGTTTGCATGAATCCACTAGCCGTCGATGTGTACGCTTTTTCAGATCTCAAATTTCTCTCTCAAGTGCCATTCATACCTGCTGTTCTCACATAAATCCACCAGAGGCCACTGTCGACTGACTGACCAATTGACAGATTTTTTCCCCACCCTCCGCCTTCCCTAAACCCAACCAACAGTGTTTTCAAAAGCACCGATTGACCCGAACACCCACTTCCCTAAACCCAACCACAGTGTTTTGAAAAGCAATCCATTAAAAGAAAACTCCTCACCTGATTTTTACTACATTTTCTGAGATTTTACCATATTCTCACTCTATTATTTACTTGTTTATTTTATTTATTAGATTTTGTTTATGTCTTACCCGCTTTCTGGAACTGTTCTTCACTGGACTCAAACCCCGCTGTCGCGGTCAACTCCGCTTTGCGTCTCAAGTCCACCATAGTACATGTAAAGCTTCTGGACAAACTAGTAACAGCGGAAAAGCAGTCTATACGGATGAAAGTGAAAAACGGAACGGCGTCATACCACCCCGTAGAGCTTTTTTAAATTTGAAATGCAGCCATTCGTTCCTCTGGCTACATAAATAGCGATCTCCAGATATGTGTATAGGGTTACGGTTTCAGAATGTTGCAACTGTGGGAAACAGCAAAATGGATCATTATTTTGCACTGGTAGTAAAATTTAACAACACACTGAGACTGGAAGTTAACTTTGTTAAATTGTTAACTAAACTTGACATACCATAACAGGTATATTTTATAGCCAAACTAAAGCGTTTTTTGTCATAATCGTTGAAGACAGCAATGCACAAAAGTTTTATATTAGAAACGTTTCAGGTGTTTCATTGTAATTTGTACAGTTAGCACTTTCATTTTCATTCAGGAACATTTCATGCATGACCCTGTGACAAACGAGATATTGGATGAGAGTATGAACTGAGTGATATAGTGGAATTTGATACCGCACACTAGAGCTGCACGATTTTGGCTAAAATGAGAATCACAATTTTTTTTTGCTTAAAATAAAGATCACGATTCTCTCGTGATTCTGTAGATGTAAAATAAAGCTTAATATGAGATTATTGTTTTTTCTTAAACGTATGGCAAAACAACAATATTAATATTATGTGTAGGTCTACTAGTTTCTATAAATAATTCCATTCTACTTATAATTCTGATGTTGAATTATGTTTGAGATATAGGCCTATGCTTGCAATCTGTCGTTGAGAATATTATTAGACAATTTAATTCACTGGTAAAATCAACATTATATAGGCTAGAGTATAAGTATACTGACACTATAAACATTTATTTTCATGCACAACTGTTTGTTCGCTATGAAAAAAAAAACTTGTCGCAATCATAACTCTAAAATGCGATATGATTATTTAAATGATGTGCATGCTTTCGGTTTCATTTTCACTGCTAAGTGCTGTTCATACTTCGCACACGGCTCTCAAACGATCACTCTATGCCACAAACTGAATATTATTTACAACTGTATTATCTGTTACCCACAGCTTAAGCAGGTTCTGTTCACTAAAGTAGATGCATGCGCGTCTATCATTAAGTAGGGCACACGCCCGCACAGTCAGCAGTTCACGTCACCTGTGATTTCCCGGCCACAAATACTTTATATGAAGACAAAAATGACATTTTGGGTGAATTATACCTCATACCTTTTAAATACAGTATGTGACTCTTTTAACATCATTTGGAGGTGACCATGTCGCTGAGCAACGTGTGTGAAACAATGAAGACTCGTGCAGCCGCCTTTGCTTCTCTCCTGAACTTGAAAATATGATTGGCAGAATCGTAGAAATGCTGGATTAAGATCGTCTAGGGCACAGATGTCAAACTCAGTTCCAAAAGGGTCGCAGCTCTGCACAGTTTAGTTCCAACCCTAATTAAACAAACCTGATCAAACTAATTGAGTCCTTCAGGCTTGTTGGAAACCTACAGGTAAGTGCGTTGGAGCAGGGTTAGAACTAAACTGTGCAGGGCTTCGGCCCTTTTGGAACTGAGTTTGACACCCCTGGTCTAGGGGGTTGAATCAAGATTGCGATCTTTTAACGATTAATTGTGCAGCTCTACCGTACACTGTATGGAAAAAAAATCCTCTGCATTTCGCGATGCAGGTGTTGTCCTTCACTGACTCGGTAGGTGCGGAGAATAGTGTCAAACAGTGTGTACAGACTATCCTGTCTCAAAATGCGACATGATGGTAATATTTTGATTAAGGTGTTTACATGTCTGTACAGCACTTCAATACCGTGACTAAAATCGGCATAGGGCCTACTCTACATGTCTTAATTCCATTTCTGTTTATTCGATTATGACTTTAATCGGATTAAATTAATCAAAAATCAATGTTTATATGGTAGACTCTTAATCAGAGTATTGTCTTAATAATATTCAAATCGGGTCCATGTAAAACATACTATTTACCTCAGGTGCTGATTATGTGCTTTTTACACGATAAGTGCAAACCAACAAATATCAGTCACTCAGCATGTATTTTTAATAATGTTAAAGAGGTATAATATGTATTATAAACCTTACCGTGTACTCACCATTTGAAAGTATTTAAATGCTTCTGTAGTGTCGCGTCTACTGGAATCCTGTCGCATCACTTGTTAGGACACGGTGTAGTTAAAACTATGGTGGATATTGTTTACTGTAGTCACAGTAGCTGTCATCCACAGAGACAAATAAATACTAGTCCAGCACATGAAGTTCATGTGATTTATCGCGTATTTCTACGTCAGCCGAGCCGAGTCTCTCTTTATCGGGCACAGCGGGGTCAGGAGAGCAGCTGCTGCGGCTCCTAATGGATCTGGCAGATCTGAACGGCGGCGAGAGCCTGCTTCAGTCTCTGGCTTGATTTTTTTTAGATGATAAAATAATCATCACGAGGCAGGACACAGCACAGAATTCAGCCCGTGTCGCTGCTTCTGCCCTGCCAACAAGCATAACATAAATAGTGATGATATAGGTGGATGTAATGCAGAGAGAAAGAGGGTTAAAGTAGGTAGCAGGTGCTGTTATTCAGAACTGGGGGCATGGAGATTGTGTGTGCGCGTGTATGTGTGTGTTTGTTAGGGCAGAGGGTGGGAAGTCAGCTTCGGGTTACCCTGAGGCACAACTGGGGGAGAAAGCTATGTGTGTGTGTGTGTGTGTTATCAGGTGGAGAAGTGGTATGTTACCTCCAAAAAAAGCCACCAGTGTCTTCCACACGTGTGAGGGAAGAGTGGGAGAAATCCGGGCACCGGCTCATTATCAGCGAACATGGGGAAAGGGGTGAGTGTGTGTGTGTGTGTGTGTGTCTTCCTGTGGTGCTTCATCAGTTATTCCGTCTGTCCTTTGCTCTGGTTGGCTTTATTTCCTTCGTTCTTTCTTTCACAGATTGTTATGAGTGTCGTACACTCCTAAATAATACATCGTTTTAGTGTCACATGCATTTCTTATGAATACAGTGTGATTTTTGTAGGGATATGTTTGTGTAGGGGATATAAGTGTGATTTGAAAAGAGAGAAAAAGGGTGAATCTTGGGGTTTTTGTTTTGACAGATTAAAAAAGAAGAAAATTAAATGATAATTTAAATAAATAAATAAACCCTTTTCACAATGTAATATTATGACATTATTTGAGCAATTGCTGCTAATTTCCTCCCTGTTATTAATAGTCTGCTCTGTGCAGTACTAGACATAATTAATGATTTGTAAAAGTTAAATAAGATGGAGTTAAATTAAATAACTTTGTAATACAACTGTATATATGTTTATTTAAAATGTATGCTTTCTGACAAAACATTTGATCAAATAACACTTTTATTAAACAATAATATTGTATGTGTGTATATATATATATATATATATATATATATATATATATATATATATATATATATATATATATATATATATATATATATATACTTTGCTGTAATAAGAATGAAAGCTATTGTGAATTGAGGAAAGAGAATAAAGTATAACGAAATGTCACAATGCGAAAATGCTAATAGTTTTATTATCTCAATAATTTAGTCTGAAAAAAGAATAATTTTGCAGTGGTAAAAAAAACACAACATTTCATGACAGTTTTAATGCAATCCGTCATAGAAACGGCAACTAATTTAATGTCTGAAATAATAAGCTGTTGTCAGTTTGTTGTATCTGACGTGTGCGATTATCTGAACATCATTTTAATGATACAATGCTGTCTGTGTGCTGCTTTAGCTCAT